GCATCCTAGGAAGCACAAACATGGCAAAAATCGCAACGTACCAATGTCATACCAATATGACATGGATACGTCTTCAACATGATGGAATATGTGTCAAACACACACAAACACGCTAAAAAAAAAAAAAGGGACATGCTCTTGACATGCTCCGGCGTGGCGAGGATACGGCATGGAAGGTTTTTTTTTTGTTACTTAAATTTTCTTTGAAAGCAGAGAATTGTAAAGCCCATATAGAAATTAATCAAAGGAGGAAGAATATCCAGCCACAATTAAAGTATAAAACCAAACAAGTGATGAATTCGTATCTAGAATCAGGCATCACCTGCTAATTTATTGAAGGTTGAAGAAAGATGGAGGATATGGTAAAGCCAAAGTGGAGACTGTTAATTTGTTGAAGGTCAAAGGTCAAAGAAGATGAAAATGGATGTGGTAAACCCTTAAAGTGAAGACTAGAGAAATATCCAGCTTATAGAGATATTCAATTTCTTTATTCGTTGGCCTTTTTGCTTTCCTTCGTTATTATATTGTGCTTTCTCCGCTTATAATATTGGATCGTGAATGAAGAATGGATCCATTAAAAAAGGGTTTTTATTGTGGTAGAAATAATATGGAAAATGGATAACTTGTTTTGGATCTTATTTGTATCGAATTTTTTAACATCATATTGAATGTTTTAATATAAGAAACATATAAAAAGTATTTCTTATTGTCATGTCCTGTCGTAGTTGTGTCTTTATTTTTTTTTAAATTACCATGCCTCCATGTCGTGCATATCCATGTTACGTGTCTGTGTTTGTGCTTCATAGCCTATTGCCATCCCTAACAACAATTCCAACAATAAATTAAGTTTTTTCCTGCTATTTTTCCTGTCTTATAATCTACGTTTAATAATCCATACTTTATAAATAATGAAAAAAAAAAATAGTGAATTATTGCTCAATCAAATGGGTACAATTCAGCAATGAAGGATATTACACAAAGAAATAGTAGACAAAAACTAAAATTAACAAGGAAAAAGTATTTGAAAACAGTAAGTGCAAGTGAAAGGTGTGCACATTATCACAATAGTTGAACACTCTTTACTTTTAATAACTGTAAACAAAAAATAGTAACATGTGACATGATGTAGTTGGACAAAAAACTACACTATGATGTGTCACATTACCCAAATAAAGTAAAAAAATATATAAAATAAAAAAAAAATGAAAACCTAGAAACAACAAATAGGGGCAAATGAAACAGATTGTTTAGATGATAGTGTCACACCAATTGATTGAGATTCTGCAATCATGTAGATCGTATAAGTAGTAAACTAAAATTGTTCCCACAGAAATTGAAAATAGTGAATTAAGTATTGAAATTGCTTCACCTTTCTTATATTTGGCAAATTCAAAATAAAAATTGAATAACAGATGAAATTAAGTAAACAAAAACTGAATAATGTACATAAGCTCCAAAGTATGTAATAACAATGAATTAAGATGTAAACAACCCTAAATTAATGCAAACAACGAGTAATTAAATTAGTTAAAATGCAATCAACTTAAATTAATCTAAATTGAACTTCCCAACAAGTTAAAATTAAAACCTAAGCATGCAAAATCAATTTAAACATGTATCAACTCTAAACAAAACCCTAATTATGCAAACTATATGCTTTAACTAAAATCAAGAATTAAAACTTATGAATTAATTAGTGTAGCAACCTAAGTAAATAATTAAACATGCAAATATAATAAATTAACAAAAGTATAATAAAAAATGATGAATTAAATTAGAATCGAATTTAACTTAAATCAATTAAACTTAAAATCATGCAATTTAACTAAGGTGCATATGTAATAAAATAAACAAAAGCAATGAACTGAATTTATAATCAAGCAAAAGCAAATTAAACTTAATTCCTAAAACATGCAATTATTATGAATTGCTGAATAAACTAATTAACTAAACTAAATTAACCTTAACTTTAAAACCAGACACTAAATAAACTAATTAACATGCAAGAATTACTGAATTTAAACTTACCAGCTTATCTTAATTAAATTAAACCTAATTAAATTCTAATTAACCCTGAAAGCATATAATTTAAACAAATTAATGTAATTAAATCTTAACCAAATTCAATTAAACCTAAAAACATGCAATTTAATCAATTTAATCTCAAAAGAGCAACTTAAACTTAAAACCAAATTAGATTAATAAGCAGAACATGCAAACTGAATTAATTCTATTACTTAAAACATGCAATTATCAAATTCAAGAAAAACAACAAGTAAATTGCTTAAACTAAACTGATTTGAATTGAAAAAGCAAGAACAAAAACTTAAAACTTATAAATTGAAACTTCAATTGCTTTGAAAACTGAAAACAAACTTGAACAATATTATATTGTAGTAAAAAAACGCTTAAGAACAATAAAACTTAAAAGAAAACAAGAAGAAAGTTATTAAACTAAAGGTTTGTTTGTCACCCCAACCAAAAACTAAAGCAAGTTTAAAAGAGCAAAAAAACAATAAAGAAGAGCCAAGTAACTAGACATTGGGCTGTCACACCAACCATGTTTTTCCTCAAGGCTAAGCTAGCTAGTTATAGAATAAGATTGCATAAAAACCCTAAAGAAATAAGTTGGGAGGTGTGGCAGCCTTTAACTTGAATTGAGAAGAGACCTGTTCTCTTTTAAACTCTTTCAAGCAACTCTCAAAGTTTCAACTTTGAGCTACTTCGCAACCTTTTTTTTGCAAGAGTCTTGTATGGTTAAGTCTTTAAGCAGCTTAAAAAGTCTTGAAATTTTCAGCTGCTTAACTCTTCTTGAACTCTTTTTAAACTTTAAATGTCTCAAAATTAAAGAGTGGGATGTGACTAGGGCTTTTTCAAGAGAAAACAATGTATTGCAATTACTTTTAAACTCGTGCCAACTTTCAATCTTCAACTAGGATTAAGCGTTGCATCTTTTAAGCACTTCTTGGACTAGGATTAGGACTTGTTGAATAAAAGAGAATTGGGTCATCCATCCTTGTTAACAGCCCACCAAACCTAACACTATAGTATTTTGGGCTCTATTAGGATCACCTCTTGGATTGAGCTAGCCTTGGACACAATCTTGGGCTTATCTTGCAACTTGGCCATCATACATCTTCTTTAGTGTGCCACCCATACCTTTATATATTCTTCTACCTCATGCAATCATACCCTAGGTAAGAATACCAAGTCAACTTAAGATTTCCTAGTCAACCTTGGAAAATCTTTCCCAAGTCGGCTTCACCAAGTGGATCTCCTAGTCAAGGTAGGAATTCCAAGTCAAAGTGGGATATCTTAGTCAAACTAGGAATTCAAGTAAAAGTGGGGAATCTTTTTTCAAGTAGGAAAACTATTGGCGAAATGAGCTTTTTCAATTTAAGGTGGGATTTGTCTAGAATTCTCCAAGATTAGTAAGATTTCCTTTTTTTTTCAAGATTACCTACACATTATCAAATTAATTACATTAGGAGTAAAAAGCATTTTATTTTGTCAAGAACAAAGCAAAAATAACTCATTTAAGTACTAAAAATAAGTCTAAATAACTCTATTTTATAGAGTTATCACCAATAACTTTAGCATATACCTTATTTATTGTTTCTATTCTTAAACTTATATATAAAATGTTCTCGTTTTTTACTATTTATTTCTTGGACATGCATGCATGTGTAAATTATAACAAGCTAAACACATTAGAGTTGTTGCAAAAGATGCTTGACCCTAATCCTTCTTTCTTATCAAATAAAGGTCCCTTTGGTTGTTTCCCTTCCAATCGTAATATTGCTGGCGACCAAATGGGGCATTAATGACTTGATAGAAAAGGTTTTTTGTTAGTTGTTACTTTTGCTACTTGCTTTTGTTTCTAGAAGCATACAACACATTTGCATAAAAAACAAATAATATTCATGAAAGATTATCGGTACGATATATAATTTGTTTAGGTCATGTTTGATGCCTAGGATGATAATTATCCTATACCATATTTGGTTTGTATATAAAGAAATGGATAGGATTGTAAGGAAGATTAATTATCATCTTGGTATAAGACGATTTAATCCTCCTAAAATGGATATATCTTATTATGCCCTTAAATATTATATTAATAATTTAAATTCTATAACTTTGAGGAAGGATAATTTTGACTAACAAATAAAATTATCCTATCCTAATTTTTGCAGAAATCAAACACAAGTTAGGATAATATTATTTAATCTAATCCAATTAATAATTTATCTTATCCTATGATAACTTTGTGCATCAAACATATCCTTAGCGAATGTTTTTGACACAAGAATATGATAAGATTGAATAAGATAATATTATAAATTGGATTAGATTAAATAATGTCATCTTCTCTTGTCTTTGATGTTTACAAGGATTAGGATAAGAAAATATTATTTATTGATCAAAATTATTCTTCCTTAAAGTTTATACAATTTAAATTATTGATGTAATTTTTAAGGGTATAATAGGACATGTAACTTCAATTTTATTGATTAAAAATAATCACTTCACTTTGTGAAGATTGAATCATCAAATGCTAAGAGGATCATTAATCATTCTTGCAATCTTATCATTTTCTTTTGATACAAATCAAATATAATATAGAATAATTATAATCTTATCCCAAACATAGCTTTAGATAACAAAATACCTTATTCTGCATCTATATGGATTATGTTATTCTAGGTGATACATTTTAATTATTTTATCCTTTTTCTAATCATTTAGGACTATGCTTTTTTACCCATTTTTTTATTCGTTTTACCTTTTGTTTTTTCATTATGGTAACTTTTCAAAAGTAAAAGCAAAACTGTAATGGAGTAGAAGTCTGTGGCTTTGTGTCTATTTGTTATTATACTTTTTACTTTTCTTTCGCTGCTGTTTGTTTCTCATTTTCCTCATTGCTAATAACTGCCTTGTATATATATATATTGATTTGCTGTTAACTTTAGAATTCATGTTTTATGCAATGAATGCAGATTCGGATGGCAAAACTTGAAGAGAAACTAGCGACAGTAAATACACCACATGACTCGAATTCCCAGTTGTAATTATACTGAAGAAGAATTCAGGAAGAGTCATGTTTCTTCTCGTACTTCCAGATTAGACTTCTCTTCTTCCTTCAAGTCTGTTTAATTTTCTAAATTATTTTCTGAAATTAAAACTTCAAATGAAATTATAAATTTTTATTTTGAAAGCATCGAGTACTTAAGGTTATTACATGGTGCTTCTCTTGCTTAACCTTGATAGGTTTAACGCATTTTTAAGAGATATATATGGAAAGATCTAGCTATACATATTATAACAATTTAGTTCCCACTGCAACACTGGTTTTTGTTTGTTAAATCTTCACTTTTTATGCCAAGCTGCTTTTGGTGGCATGGGATACTCACTAGTCTATTAGCGCCCAACAACAACAACAACAACAACAACAATAAATAAAGTTTTGTATCTCATAATTTTAGGATCAATTGTATGAAAAGTTAAAAATAAAAAATCATATTAGTTCGTAATTTTGAAACTTTTTGCATCACTCTTTCTAATAAAAAATAATTTTTTCATCTAATTTCTTAACCTTCATATTATTTCTTATTATTTGTATTTACATCCTTCATATTATTCCTTATTATTTGTATCTATGTCTTTTATGGTCTTCCTTTAAAATCTTTGGTTTCTTCCAAATCCAGAAGCTTATTTCTTCTAACAAGCTTATAGATAGGCTTATGTCTCACATGTTCAAATCACTCAAATAATCTTTTCTCAATTCAGACTACTTTTAATTTTCTTCAAATCTTTTCATTTTTGATTTTGTCTCTTTTGGTCTTATCACACATCCATTTAAGTATTCTCATTTAGATATGTTCATTTTCTTCTCATGTTGTTTCTTATCGACTCAACACTTGATCCAGATAACAATGCAGGTCTTATAGTGGTTTTATACAACTTCGTCTTTAACTTTAAAAGCATATTGCAATCATACAATACATTCGATGCATTTCGCCACCTTAGTCATCTTGTTTGAACCCTATAATTTATATCATTTTTTATCTCAGCACGACTTTGTATAATTCATCTCATATATCGAAAATGACATCTCTTTGAGATTATCTCACCATCAAATTTAATCACATTAGCACTCATTTTCCTATAAGTACTAAACATATATTCCATATATTGAGTTGTAGATCTACCAAACTAGTCCACTAGCTCTATATATGTTAAATGTATTATTGGAAGTGTTCATTGGCAAGACATTTTGCTAAGAAGCAGCAAATATCCCTTGATTTTTTAATTACTTGTATTACCATTATTATAATCACTGAGAGGATTTATCTTATTTCAGGAATTTAAACAAAAGTATGGATGCATACATGCTTATTGTCTTATGGAACTAACATTGATTCTGCCCATTCTCACAATGATCTATGACACCACAACTATACCAAACTTGTCCTACCTCTGTTAAACCAATCAGTAAGTGCAACAGATGAGTAGACTGATATGTATATATGAGTCATTTGCACAATCCTCGTTTGCAGTTAAGTTCGCTTGCATGGCATTGCGCAAGCTTCATTTCTGTTTTTTTTTTTTTTGTTGATAATTGAGGCTTCAAGCCCCTTAATTGTTAAACACTATCAAACAACAACAAAGATAGTGTAGGTTATGTATGATTAATGTGCCCAGCCAAAAAAAAAAAAAAAACATGGATGGCCAATGTCATGCGCATCGTGTTAGGAAATTTGCCTTTTAATCCCATAATTTGTATGTGAGATATTTTAATAATAATAGTTATTATTTTAGAAAATAATTATTTTTTCTTTTGGATATGTGTTTTACACTAATTTGATATATGGTTGTCCATTTAACTATATGAAATGTTATTAGGGTGCATTAATATAATTAATGTGCAGAGATCTTAATCATATTATATAGTTAATCAATTATAATTTATTTATAATCTTAATAGAAAAGGGCAATTTTATTTGTAAAGATTGTAGTGTACCAATGAGATGATTTGTCTCGAGCATGGAAGCGAGATTTCGATTTGGCATGCTAGTGCATTTGAAATGCATTGAGCTGGACTTTGGTGAGAATGTATCTTTCTAATATTGTCTCCTATAAAATATAATTCTCACTGCTATTAATATGTAAAAGAATTACTTAAATTTTTGGTATTTGAACTTTAAAAAATATACAAATTGGTGTTTAAAAAAATAAAATATACAATTTGCACCTTAACTTTTAAATTATGTATTATGTTAATCCAAACACTAATTTTGTTAAGCATATCAATTTATATGTAGTGTTTGATAGATATTATCAAATTATTTATTCATCACGTATATTACAAAAAAAATTTTCAATGAAAAAATTTTAAAAATATGTTTTTTTACGTAAACAGTAAAAATTATTTAGGTGATCGGTTAATTATTTGTTATGTGATATCATATGATATTTTTATAAAACAGTTTTTAATTTTATTTAATAAATAATATGTTTAAAAGTTTTAAGTATCAAAAGTATAATTAACTTTATGCATATTATTTATGCATACCCAAAAAAAAAAAAAAACTTTATGCAAAAGATCCCTAACCTTGAGAGAATGATGAACTTTAATTTATTATTTTTGTTTCTTTAATATATTAAGGAATGCAATTTATTAGCAATCAATACTTTAGTACGTTGGGAAATTATATTTTAAATTAAGGCAACATACATTCTTATAATGGAATTTTACATTTCTCTTTATAAGTGGAGACATTCCCTGGTAGCAATTTATTAATTTGGTTAAAGGAATCATGATCAAGTATTTTAGCATAAAGTGTGCTAAAATTTAATAGTAATGATGAAAATAAATTGGGATTCAAGAAATAAAAAATCATAAGCTTAAAAGATTAATTGTTCATGAATGTTTAAGTGAAGGGACTTGTTTACATGTAGTTAGTAGGTCAAAGAATTGACTTTATACTTTGATATAATTTAATAATTTTTTAGAGTACAATTACAATTTTAGTGGTAAAAATTGTAATTAACATATTTTTTAATTTATTTACGAAATAAATGGAAATTAAAGAAATCTGTTGAAGCTAGGATTTACAAGTCCTTATTGGTCTCGCTTTATACCTCTTTAATAATTATTTAGTTTAATCATAATTTTAAGAAAAAGGAAGAAAAAAAACTCAGATATTAATTTGGATTTACAAAACATGAATTTGCTATATATATATATAGGTGCATACATCTATAAATTTAATGTTGCTTATGTATGAATTAGCTATGTTGTGTCACGCAATGCAATTTTGCTCCTTTTTTTTAATTTTTATATTTAATTAATTATTAAAAAAAACCAACAAATAAATAAATATTTTTTAAGATTTTACATTTTTGGTGTGGGGTCTACGTATATTAAACTTTTCAGTTTTTTATTTTTTCCTTTTTACCCTTCTTTTACTTTTTTTTAAATAATAAATAATTTTTTGGATTTTAAATTTTTGTGGGAGATCACTTGATATGAAAGTTATATTATATTTTTATTTATAGTTTATTTTTATATATTTAATAAATAATTTTTAGATTTTAATTTTTTTTTACTGACACTCACTTGATATCAACAATATGTCATATATCAAGTCATTTGATTGCTTTGCATATTTTCATATTTATTTAGTTTTCTTTTTTTCTTTTTTAATATTTTAAAAAATATATTTTTCATTATTTTTTAATTTGATCATTTTTAAAGAAAAGGATATTAGTTGAGGTATCGATGTCACATTCGAATTTATTTCTTATTCTTCTTCAAGTCCTTTTTTAGTATTCTTTTGGTTTTTTAACATCAATGACACAATATTTTAGAAAACTTCGTTATTGCTAATATTACATGGTGACTTAACTTTTTTATCTTTTTTTATTTTTTTAATTTTTTGCTTTTGTCTTTTTTTTTGTTATTTTCTTCCTTTCTTTTTTTTTCAATTTTTTAAATTAAATCCTTTTTTGAAAAAAATTAGATCTTTCCCTTTTTTTTGTTTAATTAGATAAATTTTGTACTAAAAAAAACTGGTAAATAAATTTTTTTAAAAAAATCGATGAAGGTATGTATGACAAAATAATCCTATACCTAATAGGTTTCAATTAGTCCGGATCTAATATATATATTTCTTTTAATTTGGGATATGATCGAATTTAATTTTTAAAAGATGGGAACATATTGGATATGAGTATAAGACATTTCATCTTGTCTAAGTACATATAAATATATGTTTTATTATTGATTAAATTTAAATTTATACATGTATTATATTAAAAAAATAATTATTTAATTTCTTAATTTCATAAATCCACATGCAATCCCCATTTGGCTTTTTTTTTTCTTTCCATTTATTTTTTTTTCAAAAAGTTTTGACCTTTTTAATTCAGATAAATTTTGTAAAAAAAAAAAAAAAAGACGTAGGGATGATAAAACAAGTCATATCTCATGAGTTTTTATTTGGTCTAATCCAATGTGTTAGATTTTGAAATCAAGGTTGATCAAAGGGGGTTTGGGCCTATCTGGCCTTAGTATATATATAATTAAATTTTAATTAATTTTATATTTATATGTTATTATTTAATATTTTAATTTAATATAAATACTATATTTATATATAATTAAGATATAATTTATCAATTCATCCATCCATCAAGTATGTAAATTTTACTCATTTTGATTTTTATTTGACATTCATTTATGGTGTTGATATGACATCTTATTTTTTAATTTTTTATTTTTTCATCATTATTCTTTTTTGTCAACTTTTTTGCTTTTTTAAACTTTTGTATTTTTAATTTAGATAAATTTGTTAAAAAACTAATTGAGGCATGGCATCCCGATTTGATTTTTCCTTTCATTTTTTTATTTTTTAATTACATAAATTTTGCAATAAAAGGAATTGGTGAATAGAGATGAGAAAATAATTTGTATATGATGGGTTTTGATTTGACTAGATGTGATATAGGATAATTTTTTTCTTTTTTCCTTTTTTTCCTTTTCTCGATTTTTCCTTTTTATTTGTTTTTATACATTTTTTATTAAATTAATTTTGTTAAAAAAAAAAAGACCAATAAAGATATTACATCGTAACCCATTTGTCTTTTTTCTCTATTTCCTTTTTTGTATATTTGAACTAGATAAATTTTGTAACAATATGTGCGAATTGATAGAGATAACAAAACAATTCGTATTTGATGAATTTCGATGCATCTTGATCCGATATAGGTGAGATTTTTTACATCAAAATCAAGTTAGGATAGATTGAGCTTTCTATAAGGTACGAGATTAGGGCAGAAGTGTGTTTGGGATGCTTTGGTCCAACTCATTTTGGAGTATATATAAAAGTATATTTTTATTATATTTTAATTTTATATTTATATATATATGTATTATATTAATAAATATATTATTTGATATTTTAATTTAAGAATGAATATTTTAACTCAATTGAAGCATGATTGCAAAAAATAAAAAAATAAAAAATTGAATTGAAGTGTTCATGTGACACTCTTTATGAGCTCTTTTTTTATTTTTTTGTTTTTGTATTTTTAAAGATTTTTTTATATTATTATTTTTTGTTACATATATTTTGTATGAATAAGAGGTTAATATAGATATCCATATGTCACTTTTATTTGGCTTTTTGTCTTTCAATTTTTTTTGAATAAATTTTGCCAAAAACATCCATCAATAAAATTTTTTTGACTCGTAACTATGCGGGAGTACTCACCTAATCTAATACAAAGTAGGTGATAGGGGTATCGCTTAAGTTATAAAGAAAATTAAAATAAAAAGGAAAGGAAGCCACCGCAATTTGCTTTATAGTAAGCAAAATTAAAAATTTTTTTGCATTTGCTTTAGGATTGGAATGGTACCAGCCCACCAAATATCAAGAGGTAACAAGGAGAATATCTAAGGTTTTCGAAGTTGTTTTTTTTTTTTTTCCCATCTTGTTTAAGCTTTCGCGAAAATTTAATTTAATGTTATGTTTTGTAATGTTAAATAAAGAGGATTTTAGGACCTTTTTAATTGGTTTATTTGCTAGTGAAACCAACAATGGTATTAGGCCGCCCTCTTTTATTTAGAAATCAAATCTTGATCTTTAATTGTTAAAGACTCTTTATATGAAACAAGTTGTTGCATAGATTTATCAAATCAGATTTGTGGTTGTACCTCCTAACTATTTTTGTTCCAGATAGAAAATAAGCACCCTTTCATGGCCATGATTAATTATTGTTTTTAATTTTGTGATATTTCATGGTTGTATAATATTTTGGGTTTGTAAAGGGCAAGCTATTATGGATTGGTTTCCTAATTTAATATTTAGTCATAGTTTATTGTTGTAAGACCCAGAGAAAGGTTTTATTTTTTTTTAAACCATGTTTTGATCCTTGAATATCTCGAATTTGGAGAAGACTTGGTAACATGCATAAAGTTACTATCAATGGAATCGGTTGTGAGCAATTTGTTGGCATGAGAGGAGAGTCCTATGTTTATTGAATTTGAAATTCTTTAATTTTGTATTTAATATTCTGATTGTTTTTTATTACTTAAATTGTTAAGTAATAGATATAAAGTAATTAGGATAAGGTAGCAACAAATTAAAATAAATTTAATTGATATGAGATATGATCATATATATTAATAAAA